ACAAAACGTCTTCCTGCTGCCCAGTATTCCATCAGGAATGTCTCCAGAAGCCCAGGCTGAGTAAGCACACTTGCCAGGAAATATTTCACTGTGGACATGTTAGCTGTTATCTGGCTTGCTGAGTAACAAATTCTTTTGTTGAGGATTGGTGGCAACAAACATTGAATTAAAGGCAAAACCAGAAATTTATAATACTTATTCTATTCATCCCTCAAGAAAATGAAAGCACCACAGCAAAGACTATTTTTGCAGCTGTGTTAATGCATGTGTAAATGGAGAAAGGCGCCTTTGAAACATTCTGCAGAGCATTTCACACTTTAGAGAGGACAAGAAGCTAACAATTCTATTGTGGCACTTACGAGAACTTTCAAATTAATTTTCCTGACACAGCTGTGCCATAAAAACCCCCAGGATGATGAGTTTTTGCTAATGTCAAGATTACTTTTGGATACAATTCTGAAGGAGCCCTTTGTAAAATCAGGAGAACACGGGGTGCCAGGTGCCCTGTGCTGCCCTCTCCTCGCCTCTGCTCAGCTCCGGCCTTTCCCAGAGCAGCTGCGAGGCTGCCAGCTGGGAATTGCATCTGGTTTTCCTTCCACGGAGTGGCAGACGGTGGATGGATGCACAAGTGCTGTGAGGCTGAGCCCCCTGAGAGCAGCGGCCAAGGATCAGTCCTTGGAAGGACCTCCAAGGCCCCATGGGGACTCCCTGCTGGAGCACATCTACTCACACCCTCAGGAAAGGGCATGTTGGCACCGGGTGGTTTCAGCTCTGGCAAACAGCACAGGGGGGAAGGTGAAACACAGGGAATTTCTCCCTCTGTGCACAGCAGGAGGAGAGAGTTGCCTGGAGCTGGCAAAAAGGAGGAATTGATTTAATCTGGATCACAGATTAAACCAGATTAAGAGATGTGAGGGATGATACACTGGGGATCCCCCCCCATCCCTGCACCCTGCAGCCTTGCCAGACCACATCCAAAGGGGTGAAGGAAATGGAAAGAGCAACCTCCAAGCGATGCATAAGAAAGGTGTTAAAAACACACACATCCCACCAACAATGGGGCTCAGTCCGCAGCACTGGATGGATTTATGGGGAGGGACAAGCAGAGGTTGGGAAATGAAGAGTTCAGGATCAGGTGAGAAGGCCCAGAGGAGGGATGAGCAATACCACATGGGCATGTCCACAGCTCTGGCTACAGGAGGATGGAGAGCTCACTGGGATTTTTGTGTGGAAAGGCTTTGGCACAGGCAGAGTGGATGGATTTCCTCTTTGAACTGCAGGAAAGCCTGGGGGCAGGGGGGACAGTGTGGATGGTGGCAGCCACGGGCTTGATTTTAACAGTGACAGGCAAGTTTTAGATGCTGTAGAGGAGAGAGTTAACAACAGCTGACACACTTTTGTCTGGAGAAGTCACAATGACTACAAATAACAACTCGGGGCCATAATTCCGCGGTCTGTCACTACCAGGAAACGTGAAATCCAGTGACCTTTCATCTCCACGACAGAAATGCTGCACAGCACCTGGAGCCATCGCCCTTAAAATCCACTCTGACAAATTGGATGATAGGACATGAAGGTGAAAATGTCCTCTTCCTCCCTCATCCCCAAATTTCAGCCTCCTAGTGAACTCCTCCTGCTCCGTGTGTATCGTGGAATCCCTTGCCAAGCAAAGCCAGTTTTGCAGGAGCTGCAGTGTTTAGCAAAGCATGAGACAACAATTTCATTTCTTCTGACAATAAGGAATAAAGCCACCTGTTCACAGTGCTTCTAAATGATGGCAGGGAAATTGATATTGGCTTTCTATGAATCTTCAGGTCAGGCTTGTTAGAATCAACACATTTTTGCATTATCACAGAATCACTGAACAGTTTGGGTTGGAAGGGACCTTAAGAATCATCTCATTCTACCCCTGCCATGGGCAGCAACACCTTCCACTAGGCCAGGTTGCTCCAAGCCTGGTCCAAGCAAGCCTTGAACACTTCCAGGGATGGGGCAGCCACAGTTTCTCTGAGCAGCCTGTTCCAGTGCTCACTGCTGCACAGCAATTTTGCCCTTGGCAAGACAGAGTTAAGACAGACATGAATCTGAATGTCTGGAGAGGAAATTATTCTCCTGGTAAGGGCAGCAACAGCTAAACAAGCAGGCAAGCCATGCTGCTGTCAGAGTGCAGCAAATGATGCAGGGCTGTGTTTTTACCAAAAACAAAGATTTTCCAAAATTTTAAAGAGTAGCTTTTGAAATGATGATTTGTATTTCATGTCTTTCGGGAGACTGACTTCCCCTCTAGCAACTGCATCCCTTGAGCTCGTCTGTTTGCCAGTCTAAAATGATGACCACAGGGACTGAGATTAAGGTAAAATCTTTTCATCACGCTGAAACATGGCACCAAAACTGTCTTGACCACTTTGGCAGAAAGCAAAAGGTATTGGATGGAAGGAAAAAAAACAAAAAAAAAAAAAAAAAGGGGGGGTTCAGTCATTTAAGTGGGTCTGTCAGCTTGCGTTACCTTCACGCATTTGTGAAACTGAGCTTTAATTGACTGGCTGCAGGGGGGAGCTGAAAGACAAAATTTTGGTCTCAAGATGAACAGACAGCTGAAAGCATTGTGCTCCTCATTCATTAGGATGTGTCAGAGGGACTCAGATGGGAAGAGACAGAGCAATGGCTGCTACTTTCTCCCGAGTCTCCCAGACTGTAAGGGAAAGGCAAATGGAGTGTGCCACACTCAGCCACATCCAAGAGCAGTAACAAAATGCTCATCCATATTCCCTGTGACAAATGAGACTATCTTGGTGCCTACTAATTTTTATCACCGTGTCAATTATTTCATTACATTTGTGATGGATACAGACAGAACTCCAAGCTTTGGCCAACCATTAGCCAGTCAGCTCCAGCTGCAGCAGGAGGAGCAGAAAGCCCAGCTGGGAGGTCTCACATCCCATCCCTACAGCCAGGCTGGGACACAAGCAGGGGTTCAGCTCCCCTCCATGGCTCCTCAGCCCCAAGGAACAGCCATGACCCACCACTGGCTGAGCTGTGCTCCAAGCCCTGTTCTCTCTGGCACCAGAGACCAGGATTCCCAAGGCTGCTCTGGAGAAGATGGTGAGAAACACATCCCTGCCTAAAACAGGTTTCAGCTGTACAGCTTTACATCTGTATCCCCCAAAGATGAGCCAAGAGAGGAGTGAAGGGATTTGGTAAAACCATGGGTGAAGCCTCCTGGCTTCTACTTGAGGGTTCCAATCTGTGCCCCAGAGTCCCTTCAGCTCAGCATGTGGCTGATTTTCCTTCTTGTCCTCCTGTCCTTGTTCCTACCAGCAGGAGCTGTTTCTTTCCCTTTCCCTGGTTATTTGGGCACTCTGATTGTTTTGGAAAGGAAGATGCTGGTCATTCCTGGTCACCAGGGGTGTCGGGGACTGTGACACAGGAAGCCACCCACCCCCAAAGAGGGAGAGTCTGGTTACTGGGGAAATGGTCACGGTGGTGAAGGGTCAGCAGGGAAATCCAGAAGCTCCTGGACCTGTGTGAAGGCACCTCTGAGTCTGCACTCCTGGGAAGCCTGAGGGATGTTCACAGGTTGGATTCATGGGACGCAAACCGGATGGGATGTGGAGCCAGTGTAAATGTGGGGGATTCAGGATGGGACCCTACACAGGATGGGAGCAGAGGCCAAACACACACGAGCGGCATTTCCTGGGTGTAAATGAGTCTGAGCTGTGGTACCACGGCCATGGCCAGTGGTACCCCCAGGTCACCAACCCAAGACATCGGTCTTGTTGAGTGTGGTGGGAAACCTCACACTCAAGCACAGCAAAGGTGGTGGACAGAACTGGGGAACAAACCTTTTCTCTGCAGTTCATCATCAACAACAGCAAACCAATGAAATATCCTATGAACATTTTCTGCTTTTCAACAGCAACAAAAAACTAAGTGAAAATCTTAAATATACTTCGGAGCAAAAATCACGGTTTAATAGAAACCTTGGGATTTCAATTAGTATTTCTGGAACAATTTTCCAGACATTTTTTTTAATTTTGCCAGTTCCTTTAGTAAAAATATTTTGCATTTCCAACTCTTCGCCTTTTCTCTGTCTTAAAGAGCAGAAAATGTGTTGAAAATGTTATTTCTTTGCAAACATTTTCATTTAGATCCAAAAGCAATCATTACTCTTATCCAGCAGTGGTGATGTATGTACGAGAAAATATATACAGATTGTGAATTCTAAACACGAGAAGATGAATCCAAGTAGCTATTTTTTACATGTTTAGAAAGCTGTGAAGAGGTTTCTGTGCAGCTACCTTACCTTTTAATCTGTCTTCACATCTGCATTAGGAGAAAGGTGCTTTTTCAGAGACATACATGTGTACAGGCTGTGGTTCAAGACTGGGGAGACCTTCTTGGAAACAGATTTCTTTTCCAAAGAGGTACTTTCAGCCATTCCAAAACCTTTCTTGAAAGTATTGATGAATCAGACTCCAATTTATGAAATCATTTCAGAGGACAGGGAGGGCCAACACTACATACACAATTTCCAGCACAAACTAATGATGTTCTGGGCTTGATGAGTGTCTTACTGGCCACAGGAGAAGTTTGCCATTGAATTTGGTGAGTTTTCCTTTGGTCTTGGGTAATTGGCATTGGTTTCTTAATTTAGGTACAAAGACTCTCTCTTTTCCCATAGACTTGGTTCTGTGTTAGACTAATTATGGGAAAAAACAAAGACATGAAACAACAATCACCAATATCAGGACTCAGTCCTATAAAGCCTTAGTCAAGTCAGCCATTCCATCTGCTTCCAGGAGAAGACACAGGCCAGGAAGGGCATCTTTAATTTTCCCAGTTGCCACCCCATAACTGAAGGCCACTCACAAGGAGAAGAAGCCTCCCCAGCGCCAGCCTGTGCCAATGGAAGCAAACCTCCTGCGGATGCATCAGTAACAACATTTGAATAAAATGTTTCCTTTACATCTCTTTGTTAATTCAACACAGTACTTTCTTACCATTTTTGCAGACAGGACAACACTGTTCTGGTTCATAGACCGGGTTGACACACTCGGGAACTGCGCAGTCTGCTACAACACAGTGAACTTCATTGCTGGGCTCGCAGCGACACCATTCGCATGGCGAGGGCTAGGAACAAATCTCAGATTAGCCCAGTGCCTCCCGCAGCTCACAAGTTTGCAACATTTCCATCTTGCCATAAGATAAACACATCAGCGTTCAATACCCCTTGACTGCATCATTCATCATGGGTAATACAAATCAACCTCCGGGACAAAAGAGCAACATCTGAAATAGGCACCACAACATCGGAAAAAACAGTGTGTGAGCCCTGTTTTCCCTGAGGGGGCGTGGGGTTCTTTAGCCTTCATGAGGCTTTAGGTCCCTTTGCCAAAAAAACTGAGCTGAAGCCACTAAGTTGTACCTCTGCTCTCCCCATGTGTGTTATCTGACACATCTGGCACCAGAAGAAGAGCAGGATTTTGGGAAGGTCACGAGTGTTGGTTCATCCCAGGAAGGGAGGACAGGGTGATTTTCCAGGACATACTCCTCTGCCTTGCAGACCACCACTGCCAGCACACCCCAAGCTGCTGGAAAGGTGTTGCTGGGGTGGCCTGTCCATCTGGCAGCCTCTCAGCTTTCATTCCCACTTTTCAGGGCAGAGGAGAACAGTGTTGCTCTTGGAGGGGCAAAACCATTTTATTCTGTGTTTGTGCAGCACCTGCATCTGGAGTCTGTGAGCACTCCCAAAACATTACCATTAGTTCTGGTCCTGGCCCCTCTCCTGCTTGCTTCAACAAGGTCTGTGAGCAACAGACTCACACAAAATATGTAAATAATTAAGAGACTGAGTAATTCAGCTGAGTCAGGGAATTCTGGATTAAAGCACACAGCTAAATGGATTCGTTTCAGCTCCATGAATCCAAACAGGAATCTCTATCCACCCCTGAATAGCACAGACTTGTAACAGCCTCACCCTTTGAAAAGCTGCGAAAATCTGTTGAAAAACATAAAGGTCAGTGGTTTAAGGTTCCCAGTGACTTATGTGTGTGGAAGTGTGATGAAAGGATGACAACAGAGCTAAGAAAGGAGAACAAGAGGAAAAATGAAAGGAAAATAACTTCCTTTCAGTACCAGTAGGTTCAATATGTACCTCCCATTTTCTCAGCAATGGTAGATCCATCACCTACACTTGAATGATTAAATGTGGGTATTGGAAAAAAAATTCTGCTTTATGTTGCATTGATGGGAGTCTGCAGCAATGGGAATTCCCCAATATTAAAAAACAAAAAAAAAAAAAAAGAAAAAGTGATATGTAAAGAAAGAAGGATTAATCCTGATGTGTTGCAGATTGCAGTGATGGGTCACTCATTTCTACAAGACAGATGAGCCCTGGTTCTGGCAGGTAAAAAGCTTTTCAGTTCACCTCTAAGAAGCTCCATATGTCTTGAGTCTAATAATTTATTCCCAGGAAATTCATTTCTACCTTAAAATGCACTAATTAAAGCTTCCCTTGCTTTGTCTCAGCGTCTGCAGTCTATAATTCCCATCACCTTTCATTTGCTCACGGCTTTGGTAATTTAGATAAAATCAGCACTCCTTGAGCAAGGGAAGAAGCATGTGGAGGTGGAATTCCTCTCTCTAATTATCGTTCCTCATTCAATCCTGCTTTGATTTCTGTCTGAAGCATCAGGAATCTAAATTCATTTGACTGACATTTCTTATTCAAGGCTATTTAATAAGAAGAAACAATACAGCAGAAAATAGACAGAACTATTTGCTGGGGGATCAATAAGAAAATTGCTGCTTTGTTTTTACTCATTTTACTCACTAATTATACAGAGCAGCAGAAGTAGATCTTGTGATTTGTGGAGGCTTTCACTGACGTATCCTCCAGGACTTGTACCCACCCTCACTACTACGCTGGCTGCAATGCTAAGAAATATGGGATGGGTTTCCAGGACTGCAGCCCAATCCATGGCTTGAAGATGATCAGCACAAGCAGAAGGTGCCCCTGAACGACTCTGCTCTGAGCAAATGAGACATGACACCCACATCTTTTGCTTCAGCGTTGTCAGTGTAACCTGACAGTGACACTGCAATAAACCATGATGTTCCCTGGCACGGAGAGCAGCTTTCCAAGAGGGGAGAACTGTGCACAGTTAAAGCAGGAGAGCACACCCCGGCGGGAACAAGGAATGAGCAGCCAGCAAAAGCAAAGGCTGCTTTGGCATCAGTCAGACTTTTCTCTGCCACCTCCTCTTCCCCACTGTATCAAAGTCAAGCGCCTTGGTCTTGCCACCAGGATCTTCCTCTGTCTGACCATTTTTCTCACTTGCCAGTGCCCCTTACCATGGCTCTTCCCCAGCCCCTCACATCCATGGGTGACTCCAGCCCTCCTGTCCACTTAGTTTATGAATGTCTTGGCACTTTCTCCCATGGGATGTGCTTTGGGATCCGATTTGCAAAACCCTGCCCTTTCAGAAAGGACTTTTCCCCAAGCACACTGATTGAGCATCTTTAAACTGTTGTCTGCAAGCTCTGCAGCCAAGCTGTTGCTTTCCCTGGAGCTATCCTTCTTGGGGAACAATTGGCCAAAAAAGTCCTCTCTCTATGAATACAGGCAGTAGGTAGACCCAGCAGCAAAACGACAAACGGGGAACCAGTGAAAGACATCCCAAAACTTTGTTTCCTGATTCCTGACCCTATGGAAGAGGGGTGGTTTACACTTCTGTAGCCACTGAAGTTGAAACACCAGTTCCAGAAAAGAAACTCTCATCCCTACTGGAAAAGGAGGTTGAAAAAATACAGAGGGTTTCTGGAGTAGGAAAGAGAGAGGACACTGTCCCACACGGACAGTGCAAACGCTTTACTGCTGTCCCTTAAACTGATTATTCTGGAAACACTGTTAAGATTAAAGGATCACAAAGGTGATCATTTATTTACTCCAGCTGCCCAAGGCAGAAAAATCTCTTAGAAGACTTTTAGGAAGGATTTCAAGAGACACTGGTGAAGAAACATTCTCCTCACCACTGCCCAAAAGGAAAGGGCTCTGTCACACACACCAGGGTGGCCAGAGGAAGGAGCCAGCACTTGTTCTGTTGTGTGGCTGGAAAACCTTAAATCTCAGGTGCTGTCAAATGGGAAACATCTGGAATCAGCAGAGTTTGTTAATGAAGGAAGAAGGAAGGAAAATTAAAACAGAGAATAAAGAATACACATGGCTAATAAAGATTTTATGTGCATGAGCACATAATGACAAACTTGATAGATGATATAAACAAACAAATGAAAAAGGCAGCAAAAGGAACAGAATGAAAAACAAGATACACCCTGAGCAGGGGAAATCAGGAAGCCAAACAGGATGTGGATACCACATCTCCTAATCTTCACTCTTGCACCCCTTCACACCAGTTCCCACCACTTTCATCCTCTCTTTGGAAGCAAATGCCAGGATATGTAGGAATTATTACTGCTAACAGCATCCAGCTACTCCTCTCAGTGATAAGGGTCTCCCTGTCTTTTAGGGTTGGGCACCAAGTGGTTCTTTAGTCAGCTACGAGGTTTCATAAACCCACAGAAATGTCACCCCTCTGAGATGTCTGTTTGTGAGGGCTCCACCAAGCCCTCAGGTCCTCCAGAAAGACTGGTGGACAGACAGAGATCACATGATCAAACAATTCTTGAGGAAAATAGCCTAAAAACCTGACTGTTCACAAACTTAAGGGTGAGGTGGAGAAAACAGAAATCTGAACTCAAAACTTAATGTTTAAATCTAATTGTTAATGCTTTTTTACAGCTGAAGAGATCTGGAGCAAACATTTTTTTAGACCAAGGCAGCAGGTACAATCACACCAATAACCGACACACAAAACTTCGAGTTTTTAGTCAAGGTCTTGCAAGAAACTCCTGCAGTCATCTCATTTAGTCATTGGAATTCTCTTGTCCCAAATACTTACTGAACCTCACCTGTATTTCTCCCTTATCCACAACTACACCACTCCAAGCCACCTCTCTGCTGCCCCAAACACGTGAAAGCCTTTTCCATCACATGCACATTGCCCTGCAAAAGCCCCTCACTGAGTAGTAAGTGTTGTCCTTGAGTGGACAGAGGAAGCATACATACATATATACATATATATGTGTGTGTGTGAAACATTATTTTGCATTCCTCCTCTTCCCTGCCTGCAATGAGGATTTCTCTGTCACACGTCTGCTTGTCAATCACTCTTAGCTGCTTCTACACAAATATCTCTAGAGAGGTGGGAAGGGAGTGATTTACCCAAGACAAACTAAAAACTCTGAAGGTGACATGTGACTGATACTTTTTCTTCACCTGTTTGTTCTGTCAATCAGAAGCAATTTTCCTTGACATCACTTTTGGCTCCCCTGCCACACTCACCAGGATAACTGTGGTTTCCAAGTGCACTCATGTCAGCCCTGCACATGGGCTGTCACCCAGCCCACAGGAGATCTCAGACCAGGTTTCAAGGCTGCAGTCTCCCGTGATGAGCTGTGATTCTTCCAGCCGGCTTCACTCAGACTTGGGGTGTGAGGCTCATACCCCTCCAGGAGCTGGGAAAATGCTGCTCATTTTCCAACAGCCTTCCAAGACTCAAGTGTCATTTGGCACCTAAGTACTTCAACAGCCAGTGGATCCTGTATCAACACAGACTCGACAGACCTTGCTCCTTGTGACTTCCCACTCTATGAATTCAGATGCCAGCTCCTCCAGGCATGCTGAGCACAGCCACTTCCCAATGCTCTGGACCTCCCCTCACTTTTCAAGAAAAGACTTTCAGCTGTGTGGTGTTTTCTTTGCACCTGGGTTTCCAGCCTTGTGGAAGAAGGCTTGCATCTGTGCTGGAGCCAGCACTGAGGCTGCTCAAAGCTATGGCAAATTCTTGCAACTGCCCTCCAGTCATCTGTTCTGAGATCCAGTTCTTGGGATTTGCTGGGCTCCTCTCTTCCCCCTCCTTCCTACACTCTCCAGCTAAGCCTGAGGAGGGTTTTTGTACAAGAATGTCCCATAATCCCATCCTGGAAGACTTCATCTCATTGAGAAGGTGCCACGAAGTGATCACACAGGGACCGTGTCCTTGTGCTGTCTGACACACAACAGCCCTCCA